AAAGCAGAAAAGGCATTAAAAACTCTACAAGGGTGATTAAGAGCAGGGACTCTTCATCTTCTGGAAAGACGCTGCAAGATTTTGGCTTGTTTAACCTACTGTGTGCTAGGACTGCTATCTAGGATTGCTTTCTAAGAGTAAAAGGGGATGACAAGCATCCAGGAACAGAAAGAGGTCATGTTGACTGTGAGCATGTTTGGGTGGCCAATGAGAAGATGGTTACTGTTACTATGAGATGCTGGGACTTCAGGTAGTTGCTCCCTATCTCTCTCTCTCACACACACACAAATAAGATAGCATTTTTCATCATCCTGTACAGGACCTTTTGCTGAAGACACAGACCCAAGGTGAGGTGCAGGAACCACAGAGGAGGAAAGGCTGTGGGCAGTCTCGCATACCTGAGCCTAAGGGAGCATCCTCATGCCTGTGTCAGCTTTCTCTCACCTGAGCTGCACAGAAAGTGAAGAAGGAGCACCTCACATCTCATCTGTTTCTTTTTTTGGAAGGACCCACTCCCAGAGAGCACAAGGAGCAGTTCTTTCTAGCTAGCAGGAGAATCACAGGTTGAATCACCCCAACCATCTGGACTGCTCTTCCACATGAGCCCATCCTACTGCAAACACATTGCCCCAGAGCTGAGTTAAAGAACATGGTTTAGAAAGACCCGAAGCTCCCAAAATACCGGAGGATCCATTGCTAAGCTCTGCTACTCAACCATCAAACACCTCTCTAGCAAACAGCACCTCATTTCCCTTTGCTTGCAGCCCATGCCTTGCAGCAGAGACGCACAACACAGCCATCGAGTTTGGGAAATAACTGCTGCACCGCCTGTTGACCACAACATTTCCTTCCTGGGGACTTGCCCCCTGCAACATCACCCTTTCTCCCACACTTCAGTCGACAAAGAGCTGAGCTAGGCAGAATTGGTGAGCAAAAACGATCATTTGCATTGAAATGAGCTTATAAAAAAAAAAAAAATCAGCAAAACCCAAAGCTATTTTTGGTGTATAAACTTCATTTACATTTTCCTTTTTGGTAAAAATCCCAAATTTTCAGCATACAACATTCCAAAATACCATCCCCACCCCCCCTTTTCCTTTTATCCTCAATCATAATAACAACTAGTGCTTGACAAAGACTGCCTATTTTTAATTTCCTTTGCAAACTGACTCCAGGCTGCCTGTGATTTTCTCCTGCCTGGTCATTATTCAAAGCAAAATGAGCAGCAAACCTATTTCTGCAAGGAATTCTTTGTCTGCAGATTCTTCAGGAGCGGTTTGTTTTGCATGTACGAGGCTGGAAATCCTAGTTGTTTTGGTTGGACATGTGAGTCACGCAGGGCTTTTCTGGATCCACGTTACTCTAGAACTGCGGTTCTGGTTAAGGAAATATTCAGGCTTGGAGTCAGCACGGGCTTTTTGGGGATACCCCTTGCCAGTGAAATCCTTTTGCTAGAACATTCTTCCTGGGCTGGCCAAGAAGAAGCAGGAAAGGAAGGAAATGGGTTATTCTGCAGCGCTTGTTCCCTGGCATCACCCTGGCTGCAGGGAACCGTACCCAAGGATGCTTGCTCTGGTGTCTCTGCTCAGCCAGCAAGTCCTGACCCACCTCAGAGCAAACATGAATTCAAAGCCATCCGACTTTGTGCTGGAGTGAGTCTCCACTGCCAGGAGCTCTCCTGCAAGGAGCAGGAGGTTCATGCTGGGGGCAGGGGGCCTTACCTCACATGACTGGATGCAGTGAATGACAGAGGGATCCGGATACCACCGCAGCCTGCCCGTGCACACGATATGCTAAGGAGGGAAGTAGAAAAGAGCTGTTAGGTGAGGCATCAGAGGGAGGGCAACAGCCACCAGTGCTCTCTGGAGGTACAGGGTCTTCCACAATACTGCATTGCTCGTCAGAGTGCAGAACAGCAGCGGTACCTGCAAGACCCTCTCTGCACCTTTGCCCAGTGGGAAACGCTTTGAAGCCCATCAAACTCAAGGTGGGTGCAGCTGGTTCCCTCACAAACCAGGCTACATTTTTCAAGGCGGAGGGTAAGTAGACACCTGTGTGTGTATATGTAGATGTATATAGATGCACAACTGAGGACAACAGAAAATGGCAGGGACCACCAGAGAAGTGAATTTGACTGGTAGTGCCACCTCATGGTTGCTGACTTGGCCACAGGCTGCTGCTGAGAGAAAGCAACCCCAGGGCCGCAACAGGCCGAGTCTGCCATCACTTCTCTGCATGATGCTGGATTCATCAGCTTCTCACACGTACAGGATAGGGGGCTCAGCCCGTCGTTGCTCGGCACCTACATTAACTTGCTCATTGACCTCTGCTCAGACTCCGAGAACCAGTGTCCCGGGAGGACTCGCCTCCCCAGACCTGGCCTGAAGCAGATACACCAGACTCACGTTCACTCGCAGGGCTGAGGTTATCACTGGTATTTATGAGGCACAAATTCAGCTGTTGCAGCCAACTGGACACAAGAGCAAGATGTGAAGGGCTCAGTTTCATCGTGCTGGAACGTGCTGTCCCGCTCATTCAGCAGGGGTTTGTGGGGAGCACTCATGATTACACAGAGGGAAGAAAAGCCCCACCGCACATGTAATTTCCTCCTTGTAAAGCTCAGGCAGACTTTGAAATCTGAGGCCCCATAAAATGACGGCTGGACTGTGAAAGTGTCCTAGGATGCCCTTCACAGTGCTGGAGTTGCACAGAGGGGCACGTATGTTTTCTCCTAGCCTCCCATTTGGAATGTGCAGCAGCAGGCAGACCAGCTCCAGCATTCCCGGGTGGCACGGCAGCTGCAGATGGGCAGCTCTTCCCATGCAGACCTGCTGCACGTCCTTCTGCTGCATGTTCAGTCAAAGCTGTGATGGGGCTGGGGCAGGATGAGGTCCTGGCCATCCTCAGCCAGTGCAGGGAAGGCACACCCAGAGGCAGCTGCCATCAGATGGGGCAGAGGCTGGGGATGCTGGCTGAGCTAGCCAGTTCCTGCTCAGCCTGGGGGATGTTTGCATCCTAACCCCACTGCAGCGTTTCATGTGTGGTTGTTGGGCAACTTGAATGGCATTTTGCATACTCATATTCTAGGCTTGGAAATAAGGGCAGAGGGACAAACCTGCTCAGCTGTGGGGTGCAATCAGAGCTGAAAGGAAAACAGGACTGTATCATCCCCGAGTGGCCTCTGCGTGTTTCGCCCCATCCTCTCCATCACCTCAGGAGCATGGCAGCTCCCAGGAATGGCAAGCTGTTGGAGGCTTGGAGGAGCAAAGCAGGGAGCAGAGGCAGGAGCCGGGGCAGAGAGGAAAACAAGACAGTCCAGGGAGAGAGCTCCTGGCAAGGGGGAGAGCAGCTTCTTAAAATAACACCTCCCCTCCCTCCTCCTCCTCTCTGCAAAATGCCTCCCTTGCACGAGAGCCCGCAGCGGCGGTGAAAGGGAAGCCGAACACCACTGCCTTGATGGGCCAAGCCATCCGATCCCTCAAAGGCGAGGACTCCTTCCAAGGCTCGTGCTTAACCACCCCACATGCGCCGGGTGTCCTCACCCCCCGGCAGTGATCCGTCATGGGTCTGATTCAAGGCGACGTACAGTAGTATCCACAGGCACGATGCTGGGCCTCCTGCGGGTTCCCAGGAGGAGGGGAAAGCATTTGGATGGGAGTGCTGGCTCCTGGGAAGATTGTTTGCTTTTCTTTGTTCCACGTCCTTCCTTATGCATCTCGTTTTTATTTTAAGAAATATTACCCAGGCGGAGATGCTTTTTTGGAAAGTCGTGCCATGAGGATCCAAACTATTTGAGCTATTTGAGCTGTTTTGCCTACAAAATGAGTAAGAGATGGGGAGGGAAAGGCTCCCCTGTTCCAGCAGCAGAAGCAACCGGCTGGCCAGCGGGTCCTGGCAGCCAGAGACACCTTTCAGCTGACAGTGCCCTGCTTCCTCCCTGGCAGGGAGATGCCTGCCTGGCGTTGCATCTCTGCTGCCAGGTAGTCAGGGACCCAGACTCATGATGTGCCAGGGGCAGCTTTTGCTCTCCCAGAACACTAGCTGACAATAACAGCAGCTTAGCAGGTTTAGCCATCCAGCACATCCTGAAAAATCAGGGGGATTCCTGCACTTAACTTTATTCCTTGTGGTATCCTGCAAGTCCTTGAAAGCTGGCTTGGGAGCTGATAACTTATCCTGAACTTTGGTACCAGGAGAGCAGGAGGCTGTGCAGGAGCGTCCACAGGGTAGGGAAGAGGAGGAAGAAGCGGTGAGAGGGAGGAGGACCTTGGCACTGGAAACTGGTTATGGGGAACAGCAGGTACCTCCAGAGCACGCAGCCTGGACAGGTCTTTGGAGAGGGCCATCCAGCCCCAAGTTCACTTATGCTGCTTGTCTTTTTAAGTCTTACCCTTCTTCACCCAAGGCAAAGAGATTTTGGTTAAAAAACACCAGATGGACAGTAGGGGGGTCCCCTCTATGCTTCCAGTGAACCCTCTGCTAGAGGAACCCACCTCCCCATTTACCTGGACTCTGGTGGGCTGCAGACGGTGATCCATAGTCTCAGCAGTTACGTTTTCAGGCAGTATGACGGGGTCACTGGGAGGTATGATACAGGAAGGTATGCAGACAGCACCTGCAGGAAGAGAGAAAACCGTGATTGAGGACTTCATCAGGAATCAGGCAATGATGTTTTACAGGAGGGCACTAGACCCAAACATGTAGATTCCTCACTGAGGGTAGAGGTGGACATAGAGGAGGCCCTTTTTCTCCTAATCTGGGATGACAATTCCTTTCCCAAATCCTGCATTATGCCAAAGCCTGCAGGAGTTGTGGCCAATTTTCTTCTCCCAGGTGAGAGGAAAATTGAAGACACCCTAAGAGATAGATTCAAGCCCTAATGGCAGGACATGGGACCTAGCATGAAAATGAGTTTGACCTACATGCTATGGGATGTTTGTCGACATGTTAGAAAGCATCTTTCATAGTTTGTCTACCACACTGAATTCCCACTGCCTTCCTATGACCTAGGAAGAAAAAAGTTGCAAAAACCACCTTGGAAAACCAGGTGGATCCCAGCCTTAACCCCAGCCTCACATCAGGTTTGTCCAAAGCTCAACCTTAGCAGGCCCTGCCCTTAAACTTTCCTCGTCCTGTTTTGATCAGACCCAGATAACTGGTGTGTTTTCTTCAGAGTGATATGCGTTTTGCTCAAGTGCCCTGTCCAGTGGGATGCCAGATGAGATGCAACGACTGTGACTGAGCATTGCAGCTTGTCCTGAAAGCACAAAGTGACCAAGTCCTGGAAAAAGAAATGGATGATGTGGTCCCTCATCTGGTGAAAGTGCCCTGTTACACACTATTGTCACTGCGGCTTTTATCTAGGACCTGCCACATTAACTCTGCAAACAGTAACTACTCAGCAGTAGTAACAAGTGGAGAGACCTCGGGGGCTTTGGAGGGCTAGAGATTAGGAAAATTACTGCAAGGGGCTGGGTTTGCCCTGTAGATGAGTCCCTGCTCCTGAAAAGACAGATGCTTACACTGGAGCCAGCTTTAGCTTTGAGTCTTGCCCATAAGTACAACCAGGGCATGCACAAGGCTAAAGACACCCCTGGCTCTGTGTTTAGAAAGAGGATGGAAGAGAAAACAGGTTTTTTTTCACAGATTTAGAGGGGATTGGTACAAGAAGAGTCATCATGACCTTCAGCTTTTTGAGAGGGCTAAGTCAACATAAGGTTTGGTTTTCTGTTTAGCTTTCATCTGCCCTCACCTATGCCATGCCCCTGCTCGCACTTGTACTCCAAGAAATTCAGCTCTGGGGGTGCTGGGCAGGTGCCCCGTAAGCTCTCGCACAGTTTGAACTCCTCTGTCCATAAGCCTTCCTTGGTGCAGATGATGGGAACCTGCAAAGCAGAGGGAGAGCAGCCGGTGTTACTACTGGCAATGGTAGGGCTCACCCTGCTTGGCCACTGCCCAGCTCTGGGAGGAGCAAAATGCAAGGAGCACCCTCCTGCCAGTCAAGTCCAGAGGGAAGTTCTCCGAGGCAGCCGTATTGTAGCCATCTGGTCCAGCCTATGTGTGCTTTACACTACTGACCAGAAAGCAAATTGTTTTCCAGCTGCTGCTGGATCCCACTAGAGGGAATCAACTGTACTTCTTTTGACAAGACCCTTCCAGCAGGTTGGATGCAAAACTTGGATTGAAGAGCCTGGCAGGCAGCAACCTCCATCCCCAGGCAAGTCCCTTGGTTAGCAAGCCTGCTGCAGCAAAGTTGCCCATCATCCCAAGTGAATGCATTTGCAGCAGCTCCCAAAACCTGCTAGAAACCCTCTACTTTTGCTTTCCAACTCTTTTCACGCAAGACAAGCAGGCTTACTTGGGACCACCCCTTTTATAGAAGGGTCACCAGGCAGCAGTTGAGCATGCCCAGGCAGTGGTGCACTCTGTGATGTGGCTGGTACCCAGCAAGAAAAGCTTTGGGTTTGCAGGGCAACAGCTGTTTGATAGTACAAGGGCATTTGGCCCTAGAGATGGCCAAGCTGCCCTGGGGCCCCTCTGCACCGTGGGGTAGAGGGATCCCTGCTGTTTTCAGGTACACTGAAGCATGACACTTGGCTGATCTCTGCCTCTCCCCTATGTCACTCACCTGTTGTCCCTGTGGCTCGCAGTTGAGGACACACTGGCTGTCCAGCTCAAAGCCCTGGGTGCAGTTGTACATGCCCTCGAAGACAGGAGGGGGTGGCTCGCACACCACAGGGATACAGCGCCCCTCTTCCCACTGCCCGCTCTCCAGGCACTGGACCTTCAGGAACTTCCTGGGGAAACACAGATGCCAGACTGGGCTGCAGCACCACAAACAAACCCCACCTTGGCTGTACCAAGCATCCCACAGAGGCAGGAGCAGCCTAGGAGACGTCTCCTGGAGCATAACCAAGCCCCTGTGTGGGATTTTCCTATGCCATCCCACCCCTCACCAGAGGCAGGTCCTCCTGAAGCGACAGCCCATGCTTAAGCAAGACCTTTTCTTCCTCTCTCTGTGGGGATCACGCTGATTCAGGAACACTGGATGCTTTTTCCTTGCACTCACCACCCCATTGCTCCTCTCCTCTCATTGTACCCTTAAATCATGCCTCTCTGCCCCACAGCCCCTGCGGGTCCTGGGCTGCTTTGTCCCATCGCCAGTAGCTACATATTTTGCTCGATAGAGTGAGCCTCCACCAGTAAATCCTGCTGGCCTGCACCCAGCTACTCCTGAGGCTCCTCTTTGTACTCCAGCCAGATCTGTCAATCCCGCTCTCGCTGAGGGGCTGTCGTACTGCAGCAGACCAATACCATCCTGTGCTGCTAAAACAGCCCAGGCACAAACTACTTGCCAAAAAAATGATGAAAAAAGAAAGGAAGAAAAAGTCCAGGAGCGAAGCCCACCCGCTTTTCAGTCTCCTGGCCTTGGCAGCGATAGAGACACCGCATCTTTTACATAGAGGCATCAAAACCCCACGAGGCATCGGGCTGGCTGGGGACTGCTCTCCCAGAAGAGGGCATGTCATCACGACCCCAGACTTTGACACACAGGTTTTGACAGTGCTGATGAGCTTTACCTGAGCCAGTGCTGATTGCTCCATCCTTAATTATACTCCCCCCCGCCTTCCGTCCTGTCCTTCTTTACCAGACAGCCTGCTCCAGCTGCTTGCCCCTGCCCTCTCCCACCACCGGTGCCAGCAGGCAGGGCTCCAGGCGCCGCATTATGGAGTTTATAGCATGCCACAGGTACACAGAGGAGAGTTTAACTGGGTTAGAGAAACTCCTGGAGGGAGGCGCTAAATTGCCCCTTGTTCTGAGCAGCAGCAGACATTGCATGGGGCCACCCAGCTGCCCCCAACACATGCTGCAGCATCACACAGCCCAGAGTGACAAGGGAACCCCATCTACACCTTACTCCCAGACCTGGGGCAGGAGTTGGTGGCCATCCCTATCACATTTCTGCTGGGAACTCCCGTATGAGAAGTTTGAGAGCTTTTTGAAACGTTATAATCTTTTTAAATATTTGCAGCTCTTAGAGATTCCCCTTCTCCCTTCAGAAATCAGGGATCTGTTTTTCCTAAAGACTGTAAAGTGGAACAGTGGGTTCCTGCTGTGGTAAATTCAGACTCCAGCAGGTAATGTGGAGGTACGGGATGGGATGGGATGTGGCAGGTCCCTCGGCACAGAGCTCTGCACCAACCTTCCCACCAGACCATGTTGGGAGCGTGGGTGGCCACGGTGTGTGCACCTCAGCAGCAAGTGATGCTGCAAAGTCACCTCAAGAACAGTAGCCTTGAATTGACTGAAGGGAACTGCAATTAAATACTATTTTGGAAGGGTATTGAGGAGGAGCAACTCCGGATCCCATTGTGGGCATCTGTGGTTTCAGCCCACCCCTAATTTAACTTTCCCTTTCCACCGGGATTATGGTCACTGCCTTTCAAAGACATCCTTATCAGACCTTGTCTCCTCCTATGTCTGTTTGAATGCTTTGCATTGCCCACCTTTAAAGGTGAAGAAGATGCACGCCAAGATGTACTGATCAGTGTTGAATGTCCAGGACCTCAAGCAGCATTTTCCTTTTCTTGAATTGCCTGGCACTCGCTGGGGGTTCAGCTGGTGACATTACAGCAACAGGAGCAAACTGGTGGTGCAAAGATTCACTGCAAGAGCAATACCTCAGGCACTGGGCAAACTCCTTTACAGACCAGGAGCATCCCAGCCACGTGCTGCTTCTCACTCCTCCGCTGGCTGCCGGGGTATAATCGATGCAGCCACTGTAGCTTCGAATCGCTGGCAGAGACTCTTTCTCCAGGAGCCATGGGAAGACTTGGGGAGAGGGGCCGAGCATGGGGAGGACATGCCGTGGTGAGCTGCAGTTTGCACAGGTGCACGCTGTGGTTCAGAGCCCCATCGTCTTCACCGGGGCTCCTTGTCTTGATGTGGTGTTGGAGTGACCCCAGCATGAGGTCAGTACCGTGCACAGCCTCCCCCATCTCTCCCCAGACCTGCACGCCCCCCTAGACCTGGGGGAGAAACCACCTTGCTCTGGAGGCTCACCCCATGGCCAGCATCTGTGCTGGGGAACATCAAACAGGGCTAGCCTGGGCTGACCCCAGGGTAGAAGGTGGCGTGTGGACGACTGCCGCACATATGAAGTGAGTAGTTTATATTAAGGCATGGAGAAGGGAAGGGAGAGGCTTTTTAAATAAAATAAAATAATAAAAAAAAAGTATATATAGGAAAAAAAACACAACCTCACAGCAGCTTGAAATTTCCACACCCCCCGATTTCTTCTGATCTGGGCTAGCGGCATTTCTCAAGGATTAACAAGGAAGCCAGGAAAATCAGAGTCAAAGCTTCCCCCTCCAACCGGGCAAGCGGATGCCTAATGGGTAGAGGAGGCAGGGGAGACTTCTGAGGCCAGCAAGGGCTGCGTCTGACATGAAGGCATGAGCGTTCACCCGGCTCTGGGAGCTGAGCACGCAGGGGCCTGGCCAGAATCCAGCCACGTACTGGGGTGGCGAGCTTGGGGGAACTGGGTCTGCTGTACAGGAACTGTGATAAATGAGCCTAAAGCCTCATCTCTCATGGCAGAAGACTGGCAGCTTCAAAAAGAATAGGGGGGAAGCAGGGAGATTTGCCAGTAAATTGAAAGAAAGCAACATCAGCTTTGTAGGACCTCCGCTGCTGTGCTCCAAACAGCTTGGGCAACCTGGGCTGTAAATCTTCATCAGAGACCTTAGAGGTGGAAGTGACACAGGAGTCCAGTTGACAGCCTGTGTTTTCTTTACCTAGCTGCTTGGCTCCCTCAGCTGCATGGGTGTTTGCCTTTTATCTGGAAGGGGCCAGATGTGGGCAGAAGCAACGAGCACCCCGTGCCTTTGCACCCACCACAAATGTACAGTGGCCCAGTGCCCTGCTAAACCCTGATGCTTCTGGGTTAGGCTGTCCTGCTTTGCCACTGCAATCTTTCTGATTTGTTTCCAGCCCCGGGTCTGCTAACTCCTTCCAGTCTGTTTTCTCCTCCACACTCTCCTGCCTCCTCTCCCTCTTTCATAGTCTCCATAGTCTTTGAATCGGGAGAGGAGGCGGAGGGGCTGACAGCTCCATGGAAGCTCATCACGGGGCTGGGCTCTCTTGTGGCTCCCCTGATCTCTGGACAAAATGCAGGCTGAGATTTTCAAAGCTGCCTCTAAAGACCTGGGTGCCTGGTTCAACTTTGCTTCATTCCCTCAAGCTAGCAGAAGGGGCTCAACTCCTCACAAAAGTAGCTTTGAGATCCCAAAATCTCTCTCCAAGGAACCATCCCCCACTGGACAAGTGAAACAACTGTTCTGCAGGGTCTGACCTTTTTGGTCCCCAAACTGAGAGCATCCCACCAGCATTAGAGTGCACTTCTAAAGGATGTCCTAGATATTCCTGTTGGAAAGCTGCTTAAGATGGCACTTTGCATTGGAAGCAACAGCAGGTACAACTGTGGGGGTGATGCCCGTTTTCCCCAAAGTATCTGACTTCTGACTTTCAGCCTGGCTTTTTTCAATGGTGCAGCCCTGGATGATGCCAAACGTTGCTTTTTGGCAGTTCATTGCTTTGTGCAATCCAGGTGGGTGGGTTGGTGCTGCCATTAGACAGATGTTGCCCAAAACCAGAGACCTCCCAACACGTGCATTTGTGCTTTGTGATAAGTTCCCCTTGTTACTGTTATTTTGGGGCGAGATGTGAAATAGCTTGGCAGATGGAAACCAGGCTGTTATGTGGGCTCTCCAGGCTGAAAACAGATTTCCTTTAAGAAGAGTCAAAGAAGATTTACCCCTCATGTCAGCATTGTCAGTCAGATGATCCTGCCAGCAGAAAGGCAGCAAATCTCTGGCAGGATCTTGATTACACAACCAACATTTCCTCTAGGATCCCTTGTTGACAAGCAGTGATTTCTGAAGGGCCTTTCCTCACTCAGGTTAATAGATAAAAGCATCTTCTCCGAGACAACAAATTTCTTTATCCCCTTTCTCTTCCACTTATGCTATGGGAAATGGCTTTCAACTAAGATTGCAGGAGCCTTCTAAGTAACCTCACCACCCCTGCAGTAAAATTCAACTAAGGAAACAGAAATGAGGGAATCATACAAGCATCTGTGTCCAAGAGCATCTCATCTTAGACAGAGACAGCTGGATCCCAGCCACGGCTCAGGCCTGCCTAATGTAGGCACCATAGCCCTACCACGCGAGGAGTAAAGCCCCAGGGGCTGGGTCCCCAGTCCAGCTGTAGCGCGATGGTGTCTTAAGAGGTACGTGAGACAGGAATGCACTGCAGAAGGCTGATCAAAAAAACAGCTAGTCAGGAGATGATGCTGAGCCCTGGCTGGGTTGGGTTCCTATTCGCTCACATTACAGCTTAACTGTCCCTCTCCAAGGGGGATCCAGAGCCATCCTTGAAGGAAGGTGCCTATAAGCAGCCCTTGAAGGAAATGACCAAGCTTCATGTAACAGTGCTGTGAGAACATGAGCACGTCTTTCTCATCCTAGCAGAGTGGGCTGATCCCTTAGGAACCCACAGACACACAAAGATGCCTCTACACCTCCCCTGGAGAACAGTCTGAGCCCTATAGCTGTTGGTGAGAATAATTTGAAGGGAGCCTGACTATATTTCCAAGGTTGGGCTAGTTAGCTGCTATAGGGTGTCTTCACTGCCAGTTCTGGATTATGCCTGACTTTTGTCCAGCATCTAGTACACATAAAGTGTCTTGCTTTCTTATGTCCACCAACACATGGACAACACTAAATCCTTTGCAAGGCTGGTGCTTAATGGGTTGATGGACAACAGGGAGACAGTAGATCAAGAACTCAGTTTGCTGAAGCCAGAAGGAACCTGGAAAGACTTCAGAAGACCCCAAAAACTGATGTCTGAGTCATCAGCTGAGACCCTGCTCACTCACCAGAACATCAGCAGCCTGCACCCCACCAGTGCTGGCCCCTTCCAGAGCTCTCCATCACCTTCTCCATCAACTCCCTTTCTCCAAAACTGGTCTGAACAAAGAAAGCAACCTCTCACTCTGGCAGCTCCCACCCTCTGCCTGCCAGGGCTGAAACACCAGAAGGATTTCCAGCAATCGACTGGCCCACTTAAGGGCTAGTAGCTGCTACTCACTACACGTGCCAAGGGGTCTGGGCTCACGCTGAGTATGCACAAAGAGCTCCAGATGAGATGGTACACTGACATTTACACTTCCAAGGAAAGGCTTTTGCTTTGAATCAGGCCACTCGAATAGCAGTTAATGTGGTATGATAAGAAAACAATAAAGTTTCTGCTTCTGTTACTGTTGTTTTGCTTACCATAACAGGATCGTACTCCACCGTCAAAGATGTTAGACAAATTAGTAGTAATGATAACAGCAAACGTGAAAATGCTAGGTTAACATGCATTGCTATGAACATGTAAACCACTTTGCCTGATTTCCCTTGACTTGTTTCACAGCCTGTTCAGACCCATAGGGAAGTTACACACACATCAGAGGAGCCTCGGGAGCTCCCAGAGGGCATCCTTCTTACCAGCAGTTGCTGCAGCATGACAGAGATGGCCTAACTTTGCAAGCTGCATTGATCTGATTGCACGTCCAGTGCCTGAAATGCCACAGGCACGCAAGCTGCTCTGCAGTTTGCAAAGTGGTCTATGTGATCGTATGCCATAATCATGATTTGCTTAGATCCCCTTGGCCCAAGAAATGCTCCTAACACTGCAAAAAGCTGTTTACAGAAACCACTTCCTGCATTACAAGGCAAGAAATTTGGCAACTGTTACCCAGTGCACAACAACGCTACCCCAGAGCAACGTAGAGATGAAGTCTGCATCCAATTAATACTGGAAGGGGACATTAAACAATTAGCACATAATTACCTGATTTGGGCTAGCATCAAGACTCTGGGGAGGACCCAGCCAGTGCCAGGGAATCTTTAGTGACCATACCCAACGGGGAGTCTAGCTGGAGGCGTCGCAGACGAAATGCTGCTTTACCCCCCAGCATCACGATATTGGCTGAGCACAGGGCTAGTGAATCACCAGGAATTTTTCCCCGAAGCATCAGGAAAAATCTTCTCCAATTGAAATGCCAATGCTTGAGATTAAATTTAGCCAAGATGTGCAGGGGGTAGAATGTTAACCCTGACAAAAGGCAGTCATTCATTCTTACAACCCTCAGTGCCTTGATCTACGTTTTACCACTTTTAGGAAAGACAGCAGCTCCAGGAATCTTCCAGCATCTTTTTTACATCTAATTACCTGATAGTCCACAAACACTTCTGCACATGCTTAGTTTTCAGCAACTGACAAGTATATTGAGGTGCACGGGGAAAATTTACATGCTTTAGGTTGAGGCACTTAATGCACACATGCACGCAACAGCAGCTTGTTCCCACCTGCTTTCACCCAAACCAGGTGAATGCCTCTTGTATCTCAAGAAATCTGCAAGGCCAGAGCAAGCTGCCCTGTACCTATCAAATCAGCTCTTCGAGACTGCCAGCAAACCATCACCTCTCCTCCTCGCTCATGCTGGGAGAAGAGGAGGAAGGAAATGGTGATAACAGATCCACCACAGACTTACTTCTTAGGCTTGCCCGCTGCATTCTCGGCCACGTGGTATCCAGGCTTGCACTTGTAGCGACAGACCGAGCCCACGTCATGGTTCCCCTGCAGGCACCGCGGGACCAGGAGCTTGGCATTGGCCACCGCAGGAGGCGCATCGCACTCCAGCTTGCAGTAGGCTTCGGGGAGTGACCAAAGACCATCCTCCAGGCAGGTCAACCACTGGTTTGTTCCTGACCCCAAAAGAGAAGCAGTTTGTTGGGGTTACAGCTGACCTGGGGATGGAGTCCTGCTAAGTGAAGCTCAGAGCAATCAGCAAAAGTCCTCTTGTTAGAGTAGATACTGATGCCAAGGGAGACAACAAATATGAAGACTCTGTTACATGGCTGCTCAGGCTGGGGCAGAAACCAAATTCCTTGAATGCAGACAGAAGTGGGAAAGGAACAACTTCTAGGGAATGGAGAAAGGATCTTTGTTCTGCAAATCCCCCCTCAATTTTCCCTTAAACTTCCCCGCACTGGCGATGCCTCAGGAGAGCCTTCAGTGGGCTGGGGACTTTTGTGTATGACAGCTATCTGTCATATTTAGCTCAGCTCGGCTCCATTCTCCCCAGGTGCTTTTTGCAGCTTGTCCTTACCTTCCCTTAAAAGCCATCATACCCTGTGCTACATGTACACTGCAAGTTGGAAAGTGCCAGCAGGACAGATGTGGGGAAACTTAACTGGTGTGACTGGGAATTCAAACCACACATTACTAAAGACTTGGGTTGAGTATTACAGCCCAACTCTCTGTTGTCCCTCTAGAGAAAAGGAGGGTAGACCCAGCTAACGGATGGCCGAAACTGCACAGCTCAGGATGCTTGTGGTAAGTGTCCAGGACTGCATCACCCACATGGTGTGGATGATGGATGGTTCACTGGGAACTGCTGAGCAAGAAAAAAAAAAGAAAGCTGGACTGAATGAGACTCTTCCTACTGAGGGGCTTGGATCAGCAGGTTCCTGGTGTGGCCAGACTTCTCCATGCTCCCTTCAAGCATTGCTTTCTTTTTATGGGATCACTATTCTGCCTACAACTGCTCTTGGACCGGGGACAAGACCATACCTCCACACAGAGCCTGTGTCCCCAGCGGGCCGGCACTGCCGAGGGTTGCCCCCCGCCTCTGAGCACCACACAGCCGTGTCATCCTTTCCTTGCCTATTCTTAGTATTTATTAGCCTTAAGAGCCTGCCGGTAAGGATGCGAGCCTTCGGGGAGAACAAGCATCAGGCACGTCCCTGCATTGACAGCTCAGCCGAGTCAGCTGGACCTCTGCGAGTTTACCCGCGTGGCTCGGCAGCCTTGGCTGAGCACCACCAGCCACCGTGTCAGCTGCTGGAAGTCACCCAGGGCGCTCCATCAAGGGGACGCCTTCCCACCAAGGGAGCCCATGGCAAACCTCCCATTGACTTCAGCTGGAACAGCCTTGGCTGTGAGTGAAAGATCAGATTAAAGCCCTGCCCTCAGGTGACCCACCTAAGGCAACGGGCATCAGTTTGTGCAGAATTTGGGCTGTCGAGTTGTCATTTGCATGCTACCCTTTGATCAGCTCACGCTGGGGATCTGCTGGCATCCCCCCCCCCCCGCATCATGAAATGAGACCTTAATTCCCTACAGTTTTTGCCCCTTAGATTTAACTTTTAAAAAAAAAAAGTAAATTATTTTCATACGTTTCAGCTATAAATGTCTCCATAAAATAGGGTACCCATTAAAATGATTTGTTGTATGTGATTGTTCAGAGCAAAGGCACTGGTGGAAACTCACATAAAGTCCCAATGCTTGAAGCTGTCAAGGTAATTAGCCCCGAAATCTCATCCAGCTCAGCCTCGTATAGACAGGAACAGTAGCTCTCTTTCTCTGACTTGGCTTAAAAACATTCCTGCGGCTATTGATGGAGTCGGCAGAATGAAAGCCAGGCCATGGCGTGTCTGGGGGACTGCTGTGCGTCTGGGTGGTGAGCATCTCCCAGACTGCTCTGCAGCTGTGGGCATCAGTCTCTACGGGTTTATACAGCCCCAGGACTCCTGAACCACACGCTTTCCCCACAGCCACCAAGCCACTTTTGGCTCACTGCACTCCTGTCTGTCTGTCCGCGCTGGCTGTCTGCAAACTTCCTGCCTCCCCTCATCCCCATAATGCTGGAGGTTACCAGACCTCACCAGCTATCAGGAGAAGACATCCCTACAGCCTGAGGTGGATGGATAATGGCTATCAGCCCAGACATGGGAATCAGAGGGAATTATCCCGACACTATGGTGTCCTCGCACAAGGGTAATGGAGGCCCACTGTGTTAGGAGGTCTCTCAAGAGCCCACCTGGCTGGGAGAAGCCAGGATAACTGGGAAATTCAAAGTTGCAATGCTCTGTTTGAACAGCTTGGGACAGGCATGAAAAGGTGGCATCACAGAGAGAGAGTTAAATCCCTCAAGTACTCCAGACTGTACCTTGAAGCTTGGCTGGGTGGATGCAGGAGAAGGAGCATCTCTGCAGGTAGGTGGTCCCTTTGGGACAGGAGAACTCAGCGTAGTACACATGGGACTGGTCAGGGACACCACAGTTGACAGGGTCGCAAGTCACAGATCTGTCCCACTGCCCCGAGCTGCATGTCAACACCACCTCCTGCTGCAGAGAAAGCAAGACTTCATCAGACCCCTGTGAGTGAGCTTTAATCTACTGGTTTGCCACCTCAACAGAAAGGGCTGAGCCAGGTTTCAGGACAAGGAGAGCTTTCCCCAATTTTTCTTACCCCAATGTGCCCTTTCTCCCCACTCTGGACACTGAGTCATGAAGCATCCACCTGTTCAGGGGGTGATGTCTGGGGTGTGAATGCAGTGAATGGCCCTTGAGGTAACACACAAGACACCTGCACAAGAGTGCGGCGTCTAATGCTTGGTCTGTAAGTGCCTGCCTGCAGAAAACACTACTTGCATGCACATTGTCTGAGCGGTGCCAGAGCACATTAAGGGAAAAACAAAATATCCCTTCAAGATACACAACTTCCTGAGCTACAAGTTATTCTCAGCTCTGTGCGCTGCAATTTTCTCCCCTGCAAGATCAAGTCTTACTTCAGCCGTTGACAGGCACCTGTCCTGTTGATTGTTTTTCCCTAAATGCCCCGATTCACTCACACCTCAGCCCACAGACCCCACCGAAATCAGAGGTTCATATAACCTCGTTTACAAATCCCAATTATGCAGCCTCTCTTACACAGCTAGGGGACTGCATGACAACCTAACCCCCAGCGATTCCACCACTAAACGTGATCAACATGTGCCACAGACTTCATCAAAATGGTGTGCCATGAAATACCTGGTCTAGTGAAAGATGTCCCTAGCCATAGCAGGGGGGATGGACTGGATGATCTTTTAAAGGTCCCTTCCAACTCAAATAGTTCTATGATTTCCATTCCCAGACTGCTAACCCCAGCCCAGCAGTCCTCAGGCAGGGGCTGCAGACCAAAGAGGTATCTTTCAACTAACTGTTCCTGATGTCTCCCCACTTGCTTATTGCTGCTTGTTGGATATGTAACCTGTCCTCCCAGCCAACAGGATTTGATTGAACACGGACATCATGGCTCTGAAGGACATCACTAAATTTGAGTCTCGAACTCTTGGGTGTGCAGCAGGACCATGGTGTAGCTGAATGAGGTGGAGAAGATGCTCAGGTGAGAGCTGTGTGTATTTTCCCAAAATGCCTCAAGATGTGCAGGGTGACACAGCCAAGCCAGAAACATCAGCTGGGGGCTCAGGGCAGGGCACCTGCAAGCTGCCATCTGCTGTGGCAGCCACATGGCAAAGCTCTGTTCAGACGTTTCCCATCTCACTGCCAAATGCAGGATAACTGTCACAAGAGTTAGGTTTATTTTGTGCGGTTTCATTTCGGAAGAGAACCAGAACATTTCATTTTTCCTGGGCATGCCCTGGGCCACAGAGCCATGCAGCCGTGTAATTATTAACCTCCCCGGTGACAACGGGCTGAGCGGTGCATCCCCAGCTGCCCCATTGCACTTCCCAGTGCCCACCTCTCCCCCGGCAAATACCAATGGCTGCAGCATGTGAAGCCTGCCTGCCAGGCATCATGAGCACTTGCAACTCTCCAAGGGGATGAGAGGTCCATCCTGCTGACATCGCCTCCATCTGTCTCTACCCTATGGTAGTTCACTCTTGCTCAGGCTGGCATGGGGACCGGCTCAGCTCTTTCCCCTCCAGAAACAGCCTAAGGATAGGACACACTGTGCCCATGACCCTGCCAAAGTGACTGCCCAGACCCAAGGCAGCTCAGCTCCCAAGGACACATCAGTTCCAGGTCTCCTCAGTCAACATCCAAGAGCCATCCTGGCTTATGGCTTTTACAAGGCATCCCCCAGCCTCTGGAAAGCAGGACAAACTCTTTCACGGTGACCTCTGCACTACCCCGCTAGCATGGGCAGAGTCATTACAATGCAACACAAAGGAAGAAAAGCTCTCGGTTCTGTCTGCTGCCTCTAAATATAGTTATTCTGCAATGACTTTATTTTTTCCTGAGCCACTAACTTCAACTTTAAGAGATAATGTGTCCCAGGGATGTTTAACCCTCCCAGAAATGCCCATCTGGAGAACAGAAATGTCTACCTCCCCATCTGTGGTAATTGGAACATCCCCTGCAGTGGCTTTTCACCCGTCAGCAGAGCTGTGGTCTGCAGGCAGTCAGGAGAACTGCAGTGAGGGAAGGAGAGACATCCCCAGAGCACGACCACCAGCCATCAGCACGGACGTCCAGCACCAGAACCTTCACTGAGCTGAGGCTTGTTGGAAGAGCAGTGAGGAGGTTGGGGCTGGAGGAACAAGGTGTCCTGGGGTCACTCCAACCACCTCAGGGTGATTAAACCTTCCTTAACTAGCACTCAGTCCAATGGGCCATGAGGCCAACCCCACACCTTGAGGTCCACTCACCTGCGTGGATCCCAGGCTCTTCCCATTGCTGGAATGGAGGATGAAGCCCTTTTCACAGGCGACAGTACACACCATGTGCCTTGGGCCATCAGAGGTGCAGTTGAGGGTGGTAGCATGAGCAAGCAGAGGCTGCGTGCAGCTTCCTGATCCTGTACAGGCACCGTGGACACAGCTATGGAGAAGAGAGAAGGAATCAGCAAGTGGGTCCCAAGGCTTATGCAGTAAGGAGGGGTTCTCTCTGGGTGACACCTGTGTGGGATGCTCAGCGGGTCATAGATGCCTACAGAGATGCACACCTTTCCCTCAGTCCCAGTTTATTCCAGGTTTGAAGTCTTCTGATGATGCTAGGAGGTACTTTTTCCCAGCTCTGCCTTGGCTGGACCTTGGCCCAACCCCAGCCCACAACTTCCTACAGAGCATCATGTCCTTCCAAGCTGATGAAAGGAGGCACAGCCCAACAATGCTTCTTCCTAAATCCATGCTCTCTGATGGGGATACTCCAGCTCCTCTGCCCCAGGGTGCACAGGCTGCATTGCATAGAGCCTGGCACCAGAGGGGCTGGTGGTGCTTGGTGTAGGTGGACCAAGGGAGCAAGAGGAAGGAGATGATGGGGAGAGGGCAGGCAGATGACGTATCCAGCATGGCCACAAGCCCCAGGGCCAAAGTGGGAAAGTTAGTATCAGATGGCCTTATCAAGCAGCATTCCTGAATGCACAAGGAATAAAAAACAGTCATTGTATTACCTTCCTGAGTGCTGCAGCTTCTTTGGCAGCAAGGCAGTTTCTACCACATCACAATTTCTCATCTCCAACATGCTCAAATCATACTGGACAGCAAAGAACTTGTGGCAAAAGACCTCCTGAAACTGTGCTCTGCGGTGCTGTATTGAGTACACCATTAGATTCACGCATGACTGCAGCCACTCCTATGTCCTCCCACACATACTCCGCTCTCACATGTGCCTCAGACACAAGTGTACGGGGACAGACAGTGGACAGCAAGAGATCTGCACTTTCCAAAGGCAACAAAGCCCAGACAGTAACATTGAGTGTTTCTCCTAACTTTTGAATCCACAATAAGACAAGATTTGCAGCAAGACATGGTCAGGAAAAAAAGATGCAGAGGCCTTTTTAAAGCCTGTGCTGATAGAAGGGTGACAGGTATATCAAACTCTGTACTAGACATCGGAGAATCCACAGAGGATTCTCCAACGGCAAGGAAAGGTCTAGCTGAAGAAGGAACCTCTGCAGATACCAGGAAACCATCCATGAGATTTTCTTAAAACTACAAACAGTGTCCCCCAGACCTGGCAACAGAGTTGCCTGAGCTTTGTGTCCACAGAGCCTGTGGAGGGAGAAGCTGTCTCTTCCACCCTAGTCTGGTCACCTTCCCACTCTGCTTTGATGATCTTCAGCAGCTCTGCTCTTCCCACAGGCTCACACAGCATTTCAAGCCTGTGCATGTTGATGTCAGGCTCTTTGGGGTCAAGATCATCTCAACACACACCTGTCCAGCTCTAGAGGCTCAGCTGTGGCCACCAAGGTGCGATGCAGCTAAAGGGAGGAATTACCCTCCCCTGTGCACCACCCTCAAGTTACAAGAGGTCCCAGTAAAGCTTGCAGTGTGTCACCTGTCCCTGGGAAATAAACAGCCCCCTCTTCACTGTGGCAGCTTCCCACCAATTACTGATTAATTAAGCATCACAAATAGCCCCACAATAAAGATGAGGGCCAGCCAGGGGGCTATGGTCTCCATCGGTGAAATGCAGCCAGTACATTAATTACCTGGGATGAAACTGGGCCAGGACACAGGGTTAACAAAACAGGTCCCACAAGAAAATGCCCTGTCTACCTGGCTGTCAGGCTTTATCTTTTACCAAGTGGTATCAGTGCAAAAAAAAATGACAGCAGCCCTCCTGAAGAAGGGGCAGATGTGCTGCAGCTTCAGGCAATAAGTGGGAGTAAGGGGAAGGAGGTGTACCCAAATACCTCCCCTCGGCTCCCTGCTTTGCACAGGGCTGCCGACAATTTTTCAGCAGTGCATGTCACCCAGGGGAGGCAGAGGCAGCCTTTGACTCTTGCGTTCGCTCAAACTCTCCAGCCAAGGATGCACAGCTAGAAATCCCACAAACGACACCAAAAAAAAAAAAAATAAAAAAAAAAATCAGTGCTGACACGGGCATTAAGGGAACGCAATGTGCTGTTGACTCTGGACAAGTCCACCAAGCCAAAGACACAGTGGAAACCTGCAGGCCACAGCCCTGAAAGAGCTGGTGGGCACGGGAGGGGACCACAAAGGAGAACAAGAAGAAAGGGGCTGTTTTTTCAATGCAGACCTGTTTATGAAGTGAGAAATGGTTTCAGGGCAGCTGCTGCAAATTCTTTCACTAGCTTATATTTCCATTTGCTTCCTTTTTAAAGAATTTGTTTTATGAGCACAGTGTTTGTCAGATCATTAGCTTCTGAGGGCATCTGGTACCAATTGTAGCCCTCTTCCCCCCCCTCCCGCAGCCACCTTCTCCAGGCGGTTGCTTTGCTCCCTGCCTGTGCCCCCAGCGCACGCACACACACGCTACCATCCCCAACTCCAACTCCCCATGACGGAGCCGCTGTCCTAAACCTCTCTGTGTGCGTGTCTTTGCACACGCAAGTGTCAAAGGGGATGAGCTTCTCCTCCTTCCAGCCTTGCTCTTGCCTCCCATCCCATTCCTCATCAGTCACAGACATGCAGGGAGCTGCAACTGGTGCACAGCATCCCTCCCACCATTGTGCTTGGTACTACATCAACACACCACGGCAAGAAGGCTCTTACCCCCATGTGCCTCTGGGCACATGGGGGTTATCCAGCCCAGTCACAGCCCGCGTGTTGGGAAGCAGGGCAGGGAGATGAGTGGGTTCACCAAGTGGCTGTAGGCTACAGGGCAGCTGGGTGGCCAGAGCAGGACCCCAAGACACCTAACTTCATCTGCTCATGAAGTTGCATTGAGTTACGGAGTGTGCGCTTGTCTCAGCACTGGTTCGGAAAGGGTGGTGGCACCTCTGGACACATCCAGCCAGGCCAAGTGCTTGGCTGGAGCAGCTCTGCTGGTGGAGCTATGTCACATTGTCTGGGGCAGCCTCAGCAGCCGGGACAACACTGTTATTAAAAACAAGTAACAAAGCACTACTCCTTTTCAGCACTTCTGGACACATTTTGGTTTTCCATCAGTTCAGAAATGCAACCGGGAATGCTGGTATAAAGTAGATCAAGAGATCAGCAAGTTTCTTACTGTATTATTATACATACAAAATGTTATCTATATGAGTTATACATAAGGGACTGATAATTACAGGTCATAATATCAAAATCTTTCTTTTTATATACACCACACATATACACTCATGCGCACATTCTATATGTGCATGCAGATATATTTTAAAAGTAATTAACTTTCTCTTTGCCCCAAAAGATGACTAACATCACCATTTTCTCTGTGACTAACAACACACCCCTATCCCACAAATACCCACTAGGTTTTATTTTGGAAATGATCTGAGACCTACAACTCCAGTTCTGAGAAGCTGTTCTCATCCTACATGTATCTTTGAAATCTGGTGCTGCTATTCCAGACCTGAAGAGGGGCTCACGTCACTGAAAGCCATCTGATTTTCTCAAATATCTCAGTAAGCTGAAAAAAATATATCTCATCTTTACCTACAAACTTTTCCTTTATCGCTTCCTTTATCATTATCAGCATCATCACAACTACCACTGCAATACTGTGGGCCAGGACTCCCTAGAGCCTGATGCCATACAAGTGCAAGACCAAAAAAAAAAAAAGAAAAAAAAAAAGCCATGTGGCCTGGCCCCATCGTGATCCACATGCCTTACCAGGGTTCGGGTAACACGATGGGATAAATCATTACTCCCAGCTGCTGGAACACCCTAACGAAGGCTGGACAAGGAAATGGTGTAGTTAGCCCAGTTCTGATCTCAGCATGAAGGAGCTCTTTCTCCTTTTGATGATAAATGAAATTCCTGTATCACAGCTGCAAACTCCTGACATTTGGCCATTTTTGATTCAGGCTGTATAAGATGTGGGACAAGCCAATTTTTTTTTTCTTTCTGCATGAAACATCAAAAAAATTTTCCATTTTTATCCCAGCATCTTTTGAAGCTCAAACTAATGATTTGTCAACATTTTCACAAAATACCAAGGTTTTTCTCCCAACTTATCCCACATCAGCACGAGCCTGCGTGATTTTCTGGGCTCACCGACTCCAATAACTCATACATCAAAGAAAGTTTCAGATCCGGGAATTTGTGAAATTCTGCCTCGCAATGGCCCTAACTGCTCTGGAATGATAAGAGCTTTGTTCTGAAATGGGACCAATTCTATAAACCAGAGCAAAACTTTTCCTTTGGGTTTCTTCATCTTTCTATAATTTAAGCAGGATGCAACTGCCAGCAATGGAGAATATTGAGCCAGTGGTAGCAATGCTGGTACGGAGACATCATTTTGTTGTGACAAAACCCAAGCCCTGAAAAGCTGAAGTTTCCCATTTTACAACAATTATTTCATGGAACCCAGAAAATACTGATGGATTTACCCAAGTCAAGCTAAGCCAAGCCAAATACAGCACAGCTGCCTAAAGTATAATAAATCATCCAGAAATTGCTGTAGTATCTACCCAAGGTCTCAACCCAAAGATTGCTGCTAAAAGCGCCCTTATCATCAAGCTCCAACTCTAACAAAGGAAACTTATTATAAGAAGTTCATCTCATGGTGCAAATTTTTTGAGGAGAGGGGGTTATAGGGATGTTGATGGAAATGTAAAGGTTTCGGCCAAATCTCCTGAAGTTAAAAGTAGTCACTGCATGTACTCTGGTGGAATCTGGATTGTAACGCTGAACATCAGGGAGATAAAAGATGTTTACCCCAATGTGGTCTAGCAAAAGAAAATAGCTAGGAAATGAGAAAAGGTGTTTTGGAAATACTTGGGAATTTCTCCCTTCAGGCATGTTTCTTGTGAAGGGGAAAGGTCTCACTTTTCCAGTAAATCTGATGGCAACCATCCGTGTGGGAGCAGGCTACATGTACAGACCCAACGGTGGTGATGCTTCTTGATTACGATCTTCATTGAGGTTGCTACCTCAAGAAAGGATATTTGCTTTTCTACGTGACTCCCAAAG